AGCAGTCAGATGCCTTAGGCACTGTGCCATCAGAGTTCCTTAAATAATTAAAAAGGCTTCTAGCTTTTTCTTGCACTAAAGTAAGGCTACATAAGGATGTATGCGCCTGTTCTGACTCACCTACAAATTTCACTTAAAGACTAAAAACTCCATTAAGGAACCAATCTTGTTGCTAACCTGGGACTACCTATGTTTTCTTAGTATGAATTCCTAGGAGCAAGTCTTCAAATTTTATTAAATGTATTTTAATTATTATTACCATAATTATTATTTTTTAAATATCATACTGGGACAGGAAAAGGAAATGTGACAAATCTCTCAATGGCTGTTAATGCTTCTACCTAGAAGGGACAATCACCCCCCTTCATGTTTTATGGACCAACACAGGACTTCTAGCCACATCTTATAGGAGGAAGAACAAGTCCTACAATGTGCCTCGAAGAAAAGGGGATTCTTTGTCACAGCCCTAATGACTGCCGTAGTTAATAAAAGCTTGCCTTATGCTTAATCTAGTTCATTTCCAGATGTACCCTGGAAGTTATTTTTCTAAAAATTATCCTAGTCAGTGTTCAGATTCTAGTTAATCAAGGTGTTACATTAAAAATCAGTATTTCAGCTACTGACTTAATGTCATAGTACCATCAACTCCTTAACCCTCAGGTTCCTGAGGGCAGAAACTGTATCTTCCTTGTCTGTATACTCTTAGCATAGTAACTGTTGCATAAAAGGAACTGGATAAATATTTGTGTTTGTTATTGGATTAAGCAATAGAGGAAACTGGCCTTTTGTCTGTGTGAACTAAAATCTTTTTTTTTTGTTTTTGCATTAAAAAATATGTGGCTTGTCTTAGCACAATATGTGTTAGATGTGCTCTCAGGTGTTTTTCTGTAGCATAATACAACTGGCATTTTTAAATAGTTTAACAAATCATACATGTAAATATTTCTTCATTTTGGTACTTTATTATTATTTACATAGCATGAGATCAACAAAAATAGTTAGTACCTTAAATTTATGTTTGCGTGGTTATAGCTGAAACTTTTGTGGTTCCCATTCCTACTCTCCCTGTTTCCTGAAACCTTAAACTGCTATGATTAAAGATTATGGGGTCAGGGAAGCAATACAAACAACCAGCCTTAGTGGCTTTTTTCTGTCAGTGTTGTGCTTACCTATAAGAAGATCCAGTTATTCCTAAGATTGCTAAATAAAATCACTAGTCATGTACTGGGGGGAGCTCTGGTAGCATAGTGGCTAAGACACTTGCCTGCTAACCAGACGGCTGGCGGTTCAAACCCACCAGCCACTCCTCGGAAGGAAGGTTGGGCAATCCTACTTCCGTAGTGATACTGCCTCGGAAACCCAAGGAGGGATCGCTATGAGTCGGGGCCGACTCGACGGCACATAACAACAACAACAGCAGTCATGTACTGGGAACCTGCCAGAGCCTCATCACTGCCAGAGCATGCATTTTGAGTTGTTATCAACAAGGAGAGTATTTATAGACAGGCCCACTTAGATTTACCATCTGTAATTATAAAACAGTACAAAGCCCTTTTCTTTATTGGCTAGTAATAAAGCATAATATTAATTAGCATCGTAATTAAATCTGTCACGTTAGTAGCATGCTACATTACATACTAATCAAAGAAGAATTTTATTTTAATGGTGACCGACTTAGTGTATTTGTGGAGTAATACCTGTTTTTCCACCCAAAGGCACCTCACCAGGGATGTCATTCTGGGAAGTCACCAAAAGCTATGCTCACTGGATTAAGATTTAAAAAGGGAATGAAGAGATGCCAAGGCCTGCAATACTAAGTATAATGCTTTTAAATACTGCTTTGAAACATTTTGTCTGATCTGTACAAGGTAGAAGGAGGATAGTTGAGTCTTTCAAGTACAGATCATCCTTGTTTTGTACGTTTTGGATATGCACAAATTTCAGTTATTATAGTTCAGTTAAATAACACCAGTCCTCCAAAAGCATGGCTCAGTTTTAAGTTACCATGGTGTATTAACTATGAGCAGTTACATACTGTGCAGACTTCACTGATAGCTCTTCAGTCCAAATTCAGCGTGTGAATAACATGCACATCATGATCAGGACCAATCACATCACTTTTTCAAAGTTTGTCAGTGTTCGGTCACTTGTGCCTGTAACTCCGTTGACACACAGATAGCAAAGTGTGTGGTTTTGTTGTCTTCTTGTCTCCCAGTGATAAACTCACATGGCATTTAACAAAAATGGGTCATTAAAAGAGGGATTGGCCAACAAAAATGAAAATACAACAGAAAGAAGATAATACTAGATAGAAGTAAAGTGCAAGTCGGATGTGAATGTAGTTGTAGAAGAAATAGCTTACTTTGGGAACATTGGCACTGTTGCCATTTGAGACGCTCTAGGTTTCCCCTTGAAGAGCTTTGTGAAGGCAAACTTACGTAACTGAAGAAGATGGTTGTGACAGAGTGATGAAGATGTCTTAGAGGTAGTGATGCTGGTAAAAAAAAAAAAGCCTTCAAATTGAAAAAAGTCTTGGAGCTACCTCATAGCACTGACAGCACAAATGGGAAAATGTTGGAAGCTGATCCAAACTTAGAAAGTAGTATGACAGTTTGCCAAGGCACAGAGATGTTCACTCCTACTAAGCTCCATATGACAAGAAGAAAGCACACACTGTTTAAACTACTCTTGGGTTTTTAGTAAGAAACACAACACTTTCTTAGTGTTCCTGTTTTAAATTACAGTGTATTAAATATTTGGGAGCTCTGGTGGCATAGTGCCTAAGGCATTTGATTGCTAACCAAAAGCCTGGCGGTTCAAACCCATCAGCTGCTCCTTGGAAGGAAGACTGGGCAATCTACTTCTGTAGAGGTAACACCTCAGAAACCCAAGGAGGGATTGCTATGAGTCAGAATCAACTCCATGGCAGTGAGGTTTTTTTTTTTTTGGTTTATTAAAATGGTAGCGTAGTGCCTAAGGCACTTGACTGCTAACCAGAAGGCTGGCAGGTCAAACCCCAATAGCCACTCCTCAGAAGGAAGGTTGGGCAATCTACTTCCATAGTAGAAACCCAAGGAGGGGTCGCTATGAGTCAGGGCCGATTCGATGGCATATAATAACAACAACAACAGATATTTGTTTTACTGTTTTTTATTTCCCTGTACGTTTACTGGGAGCTCTGGTGGCATAGTGCCTAAGGTATTTGACTGCTAACCAGAAGGCTGGTAGTTCAAACCCACTAGCCAGTCCTCAGAAGGAAGGTTGGGTAATCTGCTTCTGTAGCGATACCGCCTTGGAAACCCAAGAAGGGGTCACTATGAGTTAGATCCAACTTGATGGCAAACACAACAAAAACAACAATGTGTTTATCATCAATAATTAGAACGTTTCTAATGTTTTTACAACGAGGTTGAAGGTGACTGAACCATTGCAGTTTTTCCCCTGATTGTTAAGATTACTTTGCATGGTTTCAGCTTGCATGGCCTTTTTTGAGGGAGGTGTTTTTATTGCCATCCAAAGCAAGGACTGCCTGTGTAGTATGTGTGACTCATCCAGGGTTGTTGGGGAGAATCATTAGACACTGTTAAAGGAACCATTGCTGCTGCTTACCCTAGAACATCTACATAGAAGTCTATTGAAAAATAGCAAAAGTAGACCTCTGCCCTTAAAATGATGGGTTTGGCTCATATCTGAAACCACCATTTCAATTCTTTCCATGTCATCTTAATATGTCTGACATCTCCCTCACAGTTGGAAGTCATGCGGGTTTTTTCTACTTCCTGTTTCATCTCCCTAGAGCGCTGCTCCTCAAACTGGTAGTGCTGGTCCATAAACTTGTGTTAATCATCCATGACAAGATAAATACAGAAAGTGAGATTAAGGATTTAGATATTTTATAGCAATTTGGCATTGCCCTGATGTCCAAGCATGTAATTTTGCTTTTACAGAAATAGTGGTCCAGGGTGGTTTGGAGAGAAAAACTGGTCTTTCACCAGTTGGAGGTACACTGCTATAGAGGATGACTGCCCATCTTCTTTGGAATGGCTTTCAGAACCCCTCAAAATAAATTTTGCATAAGCCATATAAGTAGTATTTTAAGATAAATCATCCTGAGCATACCCTTCAAATTTGGTAAAAATCTGTCTTACAGTGTTCTGGGAATACAGTCAAGACAGAAACTTTGTTTTAGTTGTATAGATGATCTTTGGTTGCCCTCTGTTGATGTGAACTGTCCATGTGTACTTTCTGGGTATGACTCGTAATACCTGACATACGTGACATCAAAGCTCTGGCAGGGGTAGGGTAGCACCCCGTGTTCCTTTGCCAGAAGGAACACATCTGGTTAGAAGACTTGGTTTTGAGTTCTGGTTATGATCCCTGCTTTGGGCAAAACACAGTTTCTCTGATCCTCAGTTTCCTGCTCTGCAACGTAGAAGAGATAATGCCGATCGTATTACTACAGCAGATTCCTGCAAGGACCACAAGAGCTCATAGAGTATCTTGTTAGAAGTTTGAAATGAACTCCTTTATAACCATACCATAATTATGGATTGTCCTTAGATTCCTTTGTTGAGTCCTTGGTTTTTTTGAGTCCAGGGTTCGTTTTTATTCATAAATTTTAGGCAGGGAGCTGTGTATTTATTACATATCACAGGTATATGCTGTACAGTATGCAGGAGTTCATTGTACTATTCTTGTACTATTCTTGTACCTTTTTATAAATTTGAATTGTTTTCAAAATAAAATAAGGCATAGATTTACAAAGCCTTTTGAAAACATTAGTATGAAACTTTTGAGCCATTTTTACTTTTCACTCTGACGTTTTAAAAGACCGTCTCTTTTCCTCTGAAGCCTCTACAAGCCTGGGTTATAACAATCAGTGATCATTCATTTCAGAAATGAAGACTCATAATCTCAAACATTTAACCTGTATCGAATCTTATTTTTAAATTCACAAATAATGCCAGATTGCATTCAAAAGATTTTTTTTTTCCTTCTAGTTGGTTGAAATGTTGGACATGTCTGTCCCTGCTGTTGCTAAATTGAGACGTCTGTTAGACAGCCTTCCGAGGGAAGCCTTGCCAGACATTCTGACGTCCATTATCCGAACAAGCAACAAAGAGAAGCTCCAGGTATGGTGTTCCCTTCCTGAATGCCAAGTTGTTTTATAACTTTTTATTTGGATCTAGATAGTAAATAGTTAAATTGTGATGTTCAGGGAAAAGATAGTGGACATCCAGAAAGTAATTAATATGCTTTCACACTTCAGTTGCCTTTCAAACATGAGTGTTTCACTTTTTGTGTACATAAGAAGCTCTTTTGTTTGCATATCAGTTGGTCAATTTATGGAAAAAATTAAAGCAGAGAATCATAACAGCGGTAAGTATTTCATTTAAAATATATAAACATAGTCTCACCATATTTTAAACATGTGGAGCCATGGCCTTTCCCTTGTGTATACCAAAAACCAAACTCACTGCCGTCAAGTCGGATCCTACTCATGGCATTCCCTCTGTGGTAGTTCGGTTTGTGTGTCAACTTGGCTGGGCCTCGTTGAGTGGCTGGGCAGCTGGTGTTAGTTAATCCCCATGAGGAGACTGGCAATCAACTCCATGGTGGGATCTACCACAAGTAGCTGGGTAGCTGCCTTTGGGTACATGGTCTGCTTCCTGTATATAAAGAGAAGCCTTTGGAAATGGTCTCTAGCCTGTGGCACACTTGGACCCTGCATGTAGCCGTGTCATTGCTCAGCAGCCTGCCATGCTCTTCCGACCTTGGGACTTACAGTGGATTTAAGTTAATGGCCTGCTGTGTGTATTGGTAACATCGGGACTGTGCCTTTTTACTAGTCAACCTTGGGGCTTCTCAACCTCAGCAGCCAGCAGCTGTCTGAGGGAAGAAATGCCTCTAGCTCCAGTGGACTGGGAGCAGGAGACAGAGCTGGACCCCAAGGTTGAGGGGCTTTCACCTAGCCCCTAGAGCCTGGCACTTTGAACTTGGACTTAAAGCCTCCAAATTGTAAGAATAAGGTTCTGTTTGTTAAGGCCATCCCACTTGTGGTATAT